TTTTTGTTTTTTTTTTAAATATGCTTTTATATTTAAATTAGTGTGAAGATGTACAATAACTAAATCAGACAAGTTTCATTTTCATTTGACAATAATATATTTATTTGTGCATAAGTTTATAGTTAGAGTTATTATTTCCCTAATGATCAATAATAATATTCATATAAATGTTTTTAGACATAAATTCCGTTGAAGAAAAAATTCTTTTGTATCATCTGAAACACATCTTACAAGAAATAAATTATTTTTAACTGTTTTGTAAAGAAATCTAATACTTTTGGAAATTATGCCATACAAGTTTGTATCTTTTAAGCAAATATTTTTAAAAAAAATTAGAATTCTATCTTATTATTAAGGATGTTTTAGTAAATTAAATTTGAAGATTGAAAACAGAAGTTGTTTTTGTAAAACAATCATGTCTGTTTTCTCAAATTATGTTGCTAAAACAACTCATCTCATTTTTCTCCTTTTGCTGCTGAGCAAACAACTTTTAGAATGACAAAAGTAGAGATTAACAAATACCTTGAGCCCCGTTTATTTCACTGAGTCGAGTTTAAAATTCGAGTTTTGCTGGAGTAAAAAGCTCTCAGAAACAGTCACATCTAACTTTTTTACTACAGTAAAAAAAACTCACATAAAGTCGCACCTCAACTCGAATTAAAAACTCAAATCAGCGAATTAAACGAGTCTCTCAATTGTTGTAGATTTTAATAATCTCAAAACAACCCCTAATACCTATATCAGTTGCAGTGTTGCACCTTAAAAATTGTCTAATATCGCATGCCACCAATGGTAATAAAAAAAAAAAAAAACCGTAGTAGTTTATCTATTCCTATCTACTAAGTGAGAGTAAGGTTTTTTTTTTAATTTTTTTACTTGTTTAGCCTTGTCTTTTCTTTTTTGCTTTTTATTTTTTAGTTATTCTTTTTCTTATCTTCTTTTTCTTCCCTTATCTTTTTTTTATTCCATCTTTTAACTTTTGATTTTTTATATTTTTAAATGCATCTCAATTAAATATTTTTCTTACAATTATTTAAACTAATATATATTTTTTTTCTAATTATCATGTTAAATTAATTTATTCTTAAATGTGTCCTTGTATAAACATCTTTTGCCTATGATCATCATAAATTTTAGCTTTAGTTGCAAGACATTTTACACACATTTTTTTCTTAAGATTTTTGTCTTTTTTTTTCCCTTGTCTTTTGCTTCAAAAAATTTTTTTTTACAGCTTTTGACTTTATTATCTTATCCTTTTTTTTCTCTAGTGATTTGTATAACCATTGCTTAGCACACGTTTTTTACTAGTATATCTTTTATATAAAAAAATTATATATAAACAAAACTACAATAATTCCCTTGAAAGACATAAAATTAACGTCACGATAGTTAGTATCATTACTCTTATGTTGTATTTATATCCAAAGTATATACTAGCTATAAATGGCAAGTTATTAATGAAAAAAAATCCTTAAAAAGTGTCAATCATTAATATCCACGCCAATAAACGCCAAGATGTACAATAATGCTTTCTAACCAATGTCGTGCTCCATTACAATATTATGATTCTAATTTGCATTAATTTTATTTATTTATTTATTTTTACTTGACTAGCAAAAAGGTAAAAATATTGATGACACTCGAGCCTTATCTGCATGAAATTCAGTTTATGAGGAACTCATAACTCTCGTATCCCTTGTGATTCTCAATTCAATTGTTCTATATATTCCATGTCAAGGTGTCCTAGATCTCATTTTATGATGAACCATAATTATCTTTCTTCTTTTTCCTTTTTTTTCCCCTAAATTATTTATTATTGTATCTATTCCCTATATTAAGATCATGGCTACGTTATGAAATATCAATTTACACCCCGAATAGGCTTTTCTAGTGCCAATATGGATCAGAAAAAAGTTTTGGTTTTTGCATTATTGTTTACATTTTCTCTACTTAATTTCGCTAGGAGCGCCACTAGAAAAAACCTGCTAGAACATGAAAATTCCTTCTTCCATCCACCCAAAACCAAAGTCTCCATTTTGAACACCTCACAAGACAACCTAACAATTCATTGTAAGTCCAAGGATGATGACTTGGGAACTCATGTCATAGGCTTCAACGCTACATATGAGTGGAAATTCGATATCAATTTATGGCATTCGACCCTCTTCTTCTGCGCCTTCAATCTCCGCGGTGTCTCAGCAGCGTTCGACGTCTTCAAATGCGCACGGGATTATGACGCTCGTCGATGTCAGGAATTCTGCTCTTGGATTGCTCGTGACGATGGCTTGTATGGCTACACAGAAAGAAACTTGAATGACATATTTTTCAGTTGGCCCAACCCACCAAATTCTCTTGCAAACTAATATTCTATATTAAGTTTAATATTCTATATTGACGGAGGTAATTTTGTATGTCTGATTAATGTGACAATTTTTCAGACACCAATCAATAAAAAGAATTGACAAGTCACATGATATTAATAGTTATTATTGAAAAGTTGTAATAAAAATTGGACCTAGCTAGCACTTTTTTTTTATTATCAATTAATAGCTTGTTTTCTGCATTGTTATTACAACTTTAAATGTGTAGTTTGTGATCTCGAATTCATACTTTGTAGTGTTCTTTTTTTTTTTTTTTTTTTTTCAATTTTCCATCAATATTAAAATCGCTTAGAGCACATTCTGTGAAACTTTTGAAATGCTAAATCATATATCTTGGTTCTACATTTGTGCGAAATCATATTTTTTTTAATTGTTCTTTTTCTTCATGGGTGGTTCAGTCGCCCACTGACGGACATCGCTTTTAACATGGCACCAAATTTGTCGGTATTGCTCAGCCAGTTTTGGCACTCTTCAACGACTGATTTTGATTCACCATACATATATACATAGATACATACATATATATACATAGATACATATCTTATCTTATCTTACTATATAAAAGAGCAGATCTTTAATCCTGTACATTATTAACACCCCTTTTAGGTGCTACTTTTCTTTTTCTTTTTTCTTCTCTCTTTTCTTTGCTTTTTTTTTTCATTTCTTTTAGCACTTTTATTTTTTTCTTTTGTTTTCCAACCCTTATTGGTGGTTCTCCTTCTTCTTTTTTTTTTTTCATTTCTTTTAGCACTTTTATTTTTTTCTTTTGTTTTCCAACCCTTATTGGTGGTTCTCCTTCTTCTTTTTTTTTCCCTCTTTAATTCTTTTAATTATTTTTTTTATTTTTCATATTCTTTTAAAACCTAATTCCTAAAATTTAAATCTTAATTTTAAATCCTAAATCTTATGCTATTTCTAAATCTTTTTCTAAATATATAAAAGAGTACATATGTGACAATTGTTCATTTTTGATAGTTCAAAACAGTGAGTTTTGAGCGCTTTACCTTTTTCCTGTTCATTTTAAGTTTCAACTTCACTACCATTTTTTATTATGTTACTTCATAATTTATTTTTATCCCATGACAATCCAAAACGGTAAGTTTTAGGTGCTTTACTCTTTTTCCTTATCTTTTTAAGTTTCAACCTTTTTATTTTTGTATTTTGTTATCATATAATTTAGAATGTTTCACGTATTTCTAAGATTAAGAGTGTCTTTGATAGGTGGGAGAGATTGAGGGATGGAGAGGTGAAGGGAGAGAGGATGAAGGAGAGAGCTAATGACTTGTTTGGTTGGAGAGAGGAGAAAAAATAAGGGGGAGATGGAGGGATGAGCTCTCCTCTCAGACCTACAAAATTGCATCCTTTCACTTATGAGAAGATTCATGAAATCCCTCTCAATTACGCTTAAAAGACTTTTTATTGTCTAGAAAACTATTTAAAAATAATAAAAAGAATAATACAGTAATATAACAGCTACACGCACATCTATACTTTCAACTGTCTCTCCTTGATCTTACCAAACAACATAAAGGACGACATAATCCTCTCCATCCTTCATATTTCATATCCCTCCAACGTCCATCTTCATCCATCCTACTCTCCATTTTTCTTACCAAACAAGCCCGAATGTAACCTTTTAACTTAAACTATTATTCACATATAATCCCTTTTTCACATAAATTGAGTATGAGGGGATCAAACTCTACCTTGTGGTAGAGTCAAGTATAAAATTACCGTTAGAGTATATTTGCTACACATAATATGTACTTTTTACCTTAAAAATTCTATTTTATATTTTCCTCACATCGTTACTCGTATTCTACGTTATAAAAACTTTAATTATAACTCTATACTTGCATAGCATATACTTAAACTAATATGTGTATATATAAATATAGGAATTGTCTCCAATCCGGTACCGGACTGGAGCCACACTTGTATATTTCTTCTTTAAAACATGTATATTTTCTCTTTAAAACGTGTATATTTCCTCGTAAAATATGTATATTTCTTTTTATGGTAAAATGTATAATATATATACATGTTTTAAGAGAAAATATACACATTTTAAAAAGAAAATATACATATTTTAAAGAAAAAATATACAAATGATGCTCCAGTCCGATACCGAACTGGAGACTTGGCCTATAAATATATATATATATACTTATAAAGTTATACATACTACGACTTTGGAATGAAGTCATATGCTTTGAGGACGACGATGATAATAATAATAATAATGATAATAATGATGATGATGATGATGATAATAATAATAATAATGATGATGATAATAATAATAATAATAATAATAATAATAATAATAATAATAATAATAAACTGTTATCATGGACATGATATGTAAAAAAAGACTGTTATCATGGACATGATATGTAAAAAAAGAAAGTGAAAAGAAAGAACAATTAGACGTGGCCAGATAATGGGACAAAGAACAGAAAATGCAAAACCTTCATAACCACAAGTGTATAGCCCGTGACACCACAGTGGACGTGAAAGTGCATGGTCACAAATCAATAATATTCGTTCACGGGCAGCCCTAACTGCTCTATATAAACATAAAAATTAAGCACCCTTTTTATAACACAACGCCAAGGAATATTATAAGAAATTTATTATATATAAATATATATATATACAAACAATTATATTATTGCTGGATCAATATGGAGGCTTCTCCAAGGTTTAAAATAGTAGCTTTTCTCCTCTTGGTTAGCATTGTCCAGCTCTCCAATGCCCAAACCATTTGCAAAGTCCCAATCAATGGCCTCATGTCCTGCAAGCCGGCCGTGACCGCTCCGAACCCTAAGCCGCCGTCCACCACTTGCTGCGCGGCGCTGACGAACGCCGACCTCAACTGCCTCTGCTCATACAAGAACTCACAGCTGCTGCCCTCCCTCGGAATCGACCCGAATCTTGCCATGCTGCTTCCTCAGAAGTGCAGACTTTCCCATTCGGCCAATTGCTAGACAAAAATCATGTATTTGTGTACAAGAAATAAAGTGTAAAGTTGCTCAAACTTGAAAAATGCTTAAATTCTCCTAAGCATTCCAAGTTGCTAGCTTCTTTATATATTTAAATTATGCGGATCGTAAGCATTTTAAATTTTGATTTAGATTTGGTTTTCGTCATCATGTTGTTATGAATATTGTTAATACGTGCATGATATTAGTACGTGTTGGAGGATCCCGATTGTACTAAAAATACATGTTTGATATATTATAAGTATTGCCTTTTCTCTTCTTTTTTTTTTGAAGTGATATTTGCCATGTTTTCAATATTTACCTGCAGTGGCGGAGCCAGAATTTTGATTCAGGGGGTATAAACTAAAAGCGTGAAAAATACTAATAAAATCAACTCCTAAATATTTTTAGATGAATAGTATATATGTATAGACTATTGAACCAACTTGAGTAATAAAGATTATAGCAAGTAAATTGGATAAGAAAAACTATTTAGGAGGTACATATTACCTATAAGAAAATAGTAGCCGTGGAAAAAAAGATTTTTAAATATGTTAGACACATTTGAATAAATGCATATTACTTTAAATGGGCAAATTAGAGAAAATGTGTGTGAGAAAGTCGTAATTGAGAGGGTGGTGTGTTTTAAAAAAATTCTTAATTAGGGACACATTTTTGAGAAAAAAATTTTAATGTGTCATTTTTTATATAGCTTAGATTATATCCAAAATTATTTTAGAAGGGACCAATTTAAAAGAAAAATTGTTTTCATAAGAATAAAGTAGAGAAAAAATCAATTAGGTACATTTAAAGTATAAGATTTAATAAGGAAAGATCAAAAGAACAATAGAAAATAAAATAATTTGAGATTGAATTTTGTGAAGATATATTAAAAACAAAAACAAAAAAAACTGGTTAATTATTATTTTTTAATTACGGGCCAGAGCTGTATGAAATTGTGTGAATATAGGCTTCGTTCATTTTACCGATTCGAGTTTAGAATTTGAATTTTACTACAGTAAAAAGCTCTCAGAAACAGTCACATCTAACTTTTTTGCTACAGTAAAAAGCTCTCACATGAAGTCACATATCAACTCGAATTAAAAACTCAAATCAGCGAACTAAACGGGCCCATAATTTCAACAGCCTATCATATATCTAATCGCAGTACATTTCTATAGTTTTTTTTTTAGAGTGAAGGAAAGAATAATTTGAAAGGGACAAATAAAACTAATAGCAGATATTTAAAAAAAATGTTTAAACCATATATGAATCTCTCTTGGGATTTTCACAAATATTTTTCACATAATAATGTTGTATTTTGATCATAATTATAAATTGATCTTCTAAGTGCAAATTAATCTTTGCAAAAATGTATCCCTCCTACCAGAATAAGTTAAGAACTAAGCTATAAGAAGACAAAATTAGCCTTATAAGTTGAATATAGAAACATGATTATTATTCCTTAATTATAAATTAAAAACCAAAATGATTTTCATCCTGACCCATAGGTTAAAACATCATCACTTACAAAATGGTGGGTCTCTATCCAACTAACTACACCCACCTAGTGTGATTAGCGGAGTTTAACCCCATAGAGATGAAGAGAAGTGCTTAGAAACAAAAATGAGAAAGGCACGGGCAATATCAGTTAAAAGAAGTACACGATTTAATTAAATTATTGAGTAATAAGGGAGTCTTACAATTTGTTTGGTTGCTAGATTTATGTCATGATTCGAATCATGATTTGTTGTTCGCTACAGTATTTCCTCTCACAAAAAAATACACGTAAATCGAGAATAATTCTGAATCATGATTCTGAATTCATAAACCAAACGTCCACTTAGATTCCGTTTGGTTCAAACAACTAATGTTGATCCTGCATTTAAATTTTGTAAAAAAATATATTAATCAAAACTTTTTTAATTTTAATATTTTATAAGAGATAATACTGTAATAAAATAAGAATTAGGGGTCGGAAGTATTAAACCAAACCTTATGAAAACCTGAAAACATGACGTTTATATGTATAGCCAGTGACACAGCCAGTTATTATAAAAGAATGTGCTAATAATTGGTTCACGAGCAACACCATCCTCAAAAGCAATCTCCATTTGTTATTCCCAAAATAAATAAACAAAAAAAATAAAGCTCCAATACGATGTCAAATTCGTAATAAGATCCTCGTTCCTCTAAAAAACCCCGTAGAGCAATCTAATACGATGTCAAATTCGTAATAAGGAACATAATTTAATAAACCACACCACATGACTCTGCTCAGTTAACCGATTTGAGTTTAAAATTTAAATTTTATTATAGTAAAAAGTTATCAAAAGTAGTCACATCTAATTTTTTTACTACAGTAAAAAGTTTTCACGTAAAGTCACATTTCAACTCGAATTAAATACTCGAATCAGCGAACTAAACGGACCCTAATTATTAACACTGAATCAATTATTGTTTGGAAGTATGTTTATATGCACGCAAAAGTGTCGTAATTAAAGGATGCTTAATAAAATGACAATATTTTTTCATAAAGAAGAAATGTTCCAATTTTTAGCACCACTTTCAATAACTGTTTTTTGAATGTTTAGATCATCTTTTTAAAAGAGTTTCTGGTTAACGTGACAAATAAGACTTAAAAGAAAAAACAACTCTTTTAAGAATAATTGGAACTTGTATTGATGCGTTATCATTATCATTAGTTGAAGATCAATTTTCGTTAAAAGATTTTCCTAATTGTATTGATGCGTTTATAAGTGTAGGCTTCAGTTAATTAATAACGATACAGCTTTTTCTAAAAAAAAAAAAAAAAAAAAAAAAAAAAAAAAAAAATAAAAAAAAAAAAGTTTTTTTTAAAAAAAAAAAAAAAAAAAAAAAAAAAAAAAAAAAAAAAAAAAAAAAATTGGAACTTGTACTATAGTTTATAGAAGAGAGAAAAAGGAAAATATATCAAGACTTGAGATGGATTAAAATTAATAGATCAATAGTTTACATAAGTTAATAAATATGTTAAATTATTATTTTTGTCCATAATTTGTCTGGTTATGAACCATAACTTGACAAGTTATTGTCCATAATTCACGGTTTTTATCCATAATTTGTCTGGCTATGAACCATAACTTGACAAGTTTGTTTATAATTTATCTGGTTCTGAACTATAACTTAACAAGTTATGGCCTATTAATTTCTATAACTAAAAATTGACATATATACTTTCTTAAGCTTTTCATATTAGCTTATTTCCTACTATTTCCATTTATATAACATCATTTTTAAAAAGTCAAATAAACAATTTTATTGATTATTACGAAATTAAAAGGTCCTATTATAAGCTTTTTGTCGATTTTCAAGAAAGAAATGATTAAATATTCCTTGAGCTTAATTGATCGTGTTTATTGTATTTATGCTAGATGTTGACGTCAGATTTCGTACCTCATCTCTCACCATACACGTGATAATTTGGGCACCAGAAGGTCACTAAACAAGTCACTGTGACTCTCCGAGCAGGCAGAATTGACTGGTCGATTGATCAACTCCACCGGTCGATCCCACGAGTCAACGGACAACCTTGGGCATTAAGTCATGAGAGCATATCTTAAAGACATTCCTTATACGGGATTTGGCAACATAATTGGCTAGAAAAGGAAAGAAATTAAATGCTCCAGCTTGAAGAATTAATGAGAAAAAAGGTCAACGGTTGACTTAGGCCGCAAGCAACCCTTTTGTTGGACGAAAATTGTCTTCCACATAAGGAAATTATATCTCCAGCAATCACGCAGTAATGAGGCTAGATCAACTCAAAATGGGCAAAAAACCATGATTAACTGGTCGATTATAGATAAATACAGTTAAAGAAAGTCACAAAGTGCCCAAAAATGAAGGAAATATCACGAATTAAAGGTCATATCACACAAAAAATCATGAAACAACTCGTATAACCTCATCAGCTATAAATACATGGCATTTGGACAAAATTCAGCATGCTACTACAGCACAAAAAAGCTCCCACACTCACTTACAACATATTTCTATATTATTTATTATATTTTACGGCATACATTTTGCTACTAAAAAAAAGATTCATAAAATTTTTAACTTACATTCAATCAATAATGGATGTATCATAATTAAAAGTTCAAATTTAAATTATTTTTAAATTTAAATTAAATTTTAAAATATCCCAATACAACAAATTAAATCTAATGGAAGGGTTTTTTTTATTAAGATTTCATTGTTCAAGAGGAATGAATGTTACGTTTTAAAGATAGAGTAAAGTGTTATAAAAAATATAGTTCAGGGATAGTTTTTATAATTAATCCTAACTTTTTGATACGGTAGAAAAACTACTCATTTAATACTTCTTTTATAATTGGATTTGTATTTTTATTTGTTCAATTTATAGTAGGAGATTTGAATTCCACAGTTTATTTCCTTCTATTTACGATGTATGTTGAGAATTTACCATCATAATAGAATTTGTTCACTATAATAAATCTAATATTTAGGGTGTGTATCCAAGATTTACCATTTAAACATAACACGTTATGATATTTTCTCTCTAGTAAATCTTGAATTTACAGTGTGTCTTAAATAGTTACCATCAAAATGGAATTTGTTCACGCTGTTAAGTCCTGAATTTATGATGTAAATATATATATACTAGTGGATGACGTCAGAGCTGACAATGCAAATTTACAGGTAAATTCGTGTATTTACCAATCGGTGATGGCAGCGCCAAGCAAAACAATTTTAAAGATATATTCGTGTATTTACCAATTGGTGATGGTACCATTCGCAAGGAGAAAGAACTTAGAGTATTTTGGTTATTTTATTTTATTTTATTTTTATTTTTATTTTTTTTATAGTGTTATAAGCCAAGTTATCAATTGGGCCGGTTATTAGAAAAAATTTTGGTCGTGTTTAGAATTGATTCCGTTTTTATTTTTTACATTTTTTAAAAAAGAAAAAATGAAAACGTTTTCAAAACGGCGTTTAGCGCAATAAAGATAAAAAATAGAAATGAAAACGATTTTTTAATTTAGTGTAAAATAAGAGAAAAATAAAAAACGACTTTTAATCGTTTTTCATTTTTTATTTTCGTTTTCTCCTCTCTCGAACAGAGAGATAAAGAAAGACATTAATATATATTTTTTACACTAAAAATAATCTCTTAATAAAACTATAAAATACATTTTCAAAACTAATTTATATATGAGATTGAAAACGTTTTCATTTTTATTTTCATACTTCTAATCCCCATTGAAATATGCTATTCCCCAATTCTCCCATTAAACAGACCCGTTCATCTTTGGTCCAAATTGGTTCTTTTTATCATACTCGGAGAATTTCAAATAAATTGGGTTAAGATCGATGAGGATTGAAATACAATAAGCTCATAACCTGCTCTCTTACATTTGGTAACCGAAAATCCCAAAGCCCAAGTTACTGTCTTCCTATTAATCAGAGGACAAAATTTTCACGTTTCAAAGAGCCGAAGATGTCAAAAGGCATGGTCAGGTCTGTCTCTGGCAGCCTCCTATCCTAACCTGAGTTCGTAGTCAAGTCAACCATGCCACAAATAGGCCAACAACCTATGTAAGACGAGACTCGTTTGTTTTACTAGTTGAAATTAACAACCCGAGTTAAAAAGTAAGAAAGATTTAGTTCATAAATTAGAATCATGAGATTAGAATTATTTTTAATTTATGTGTATTTTTTATGAGAGAAAACACTGTAACGAATCATGAACCATGATTCGAATCAGAGTACGAATCCCCTTACCAAACGTCACATAAATCTATACAAGAGAAAATACATAACTGAAAAGGTTAATATTAAATTTTTATGAGGTAAAATATTATAGTAAAACTTGAATTATAATTCAAACTAACAAAATGATCTATTGGAACTAATCAAATTTTAGAGATGAAAAGTGGGAAACATTTTGGTCGTGTTTGGAATTGATCCCGTTTTTATTTTTCACGTTTTTCGAGAAAGAAAAAATGAAAACGTTTCTAAAACGGCGTTTGGCGCAATAAAAACAAAAAATAGAAATGAAAATGATTTTTTGATTTAATGCAAAATGAGAGAGAAATGAAAAACGACTTTTAGTCGTTTTTCATTTTTTGTTTTCGTTTTCTCATCTCTCAAGCAGAGGGATAAAGAGAGACATTAATGGGTTGTTTTACATTGAAAATAATCTCTTGATAAAACTATCAAACGCATTTTTAAAAATAATTTCTATCTGAAATTAAAAACGTTTTTATTTTTAATTCCAAACGCGCCCTTTTACTTTATCAAAAGCTTACTAGGGCCTCTCGGAGCTTTGGAAGATTTTAAATCAACTAGCATCAAGTTGCTTTGCCAACAGTCAGGCACCAATTTTGGGTTACTTGAATCCTTACATGGAAATCAACAAAAACTTGAAGCTAGAAAGGGAATGGAGTGTATCAAATAGTCACAAAAAAGATTGTCTCTTCACCTATAAATAATCCTTTTTTTTTCACTCCAAAGTAAGCATGAGACCTTCACTATAAGCTCTTAGAAACCTATAAATTATCCAAATATTCATCACCTTCTTATCATTGATGAATCTTAAACCTAACCCATTTTTTAAGGGATTGTTCTTTTGTATTTTTGAGTTAGGATGACTTAAATGATGATTTTGAGTTGAGTTTGAGTTATAACTTGAGTTGAAGTTGTAACTTGAGTTTGTGTTTGTATGTGCACATTTGAGTTATGATTTGAATTGAAAATATTTTTCAGTTTGTGTTTGAGTGAATCAAAACTTAAATTTGTATTTAGATAGTATTTTAATAAAAACTAAATGGTGATGAAACATTTTAATAGGGTATATGGGTGGAATTTTATTCGTCTTTTCATTGTGAATGCATAGAAAAAAACTCATCTCAATCAAAATTAAAATGAAAAAGTTATTGCATTTTTAAGAATAGAAAAAATATTGTTCATTAACTTGAGTTCGAGTTTATGAACTCGAGTTGAATGAGAAACTTGAACTCGAGTTTAGCCCCAAACTCGAGTTTAAACTCAAATTTTACAAAAGAACATGAATTTAAATAAGTTGTAACTTGAATTCAAACTTTTTCTGAATTTCGTTGCAAAAGAAGAACCCCTAAAATATCCAGAAATCGTCCCGAGAGACAACTCGAGCTCATCTTCTAGCAAAGCCGAAGATCTTGAGTTATTTCTCTGACCAATTTGATCCACCTCTATTGGAGGTCTCGTTGGAGCCGCCTCCACCAATTTGTAACTATTTAGGGCACGTCAACAATACAGCTAACAAACTGATCAATCGGAGACTACCACGTTGTACCTATTAAAACGACATAAATGATCACATTAAATGCAAAATATTCACTTTTCACTACTAGTTAAAACCTTTAAAAAATAAAACAATTTGTATTTAATGTAATTGTTCTTATTAAAAATTTCAATTGTCGTGTGATTAAGACATGATTTCTCTATAAAAATTTCAAAGTACCAATTAAATTTGTCAAAACATCAAAGTTTGCTGAGTAATTTGTTAGGAAAAAAATTTTGGGAACAAATAGTAAAACAATACTGAGGGCATGTTTGGCTCACGCATTTGAAAGCATTATTCTGATTCTACTATAATATGTTTCTCTAAAAAATTTAAATTAAAAAAATTTACGTCGGTTCTCTCATAAAATTTGAATTCAGAATTAAAATCACTGACTTAAACGCGTGAAACGGGCCATCATATTTTTTTAGATTAATTATAAAAATTCCTCTTGAATTATACCCCTTGTAACAATTTGCCTCTTAATCTTTAAAATTAACATATGTTTCTCTGAACAATGAAATATTAATAAAAAAACCCAATCTATTAGGTTTTTAACTGAAATTGATATTTATTTTGCTATTTTAAAGGTATTTTAAAAATTCTACGGATTAATATTTAATTTGTATTTAAACTAACTTAAATATTAAAAAACTTTACAACTTTTTTTATTATACCAAAAAAGATTCATAAAATTTTTAACATAAATTCAATCAATACTAAATGTATCATAAGTAAAGTTTAAATTTAAATTAGTTTTAAATTTAAATTAAATTTTAAACTATACAGTTACTAAAATATCTCAAAATAATAAATTAAATGTTAATTGTTGTTAAAAACTTAGGAGTGAGAAATTTTTTGTTAATATTGTATTGTTTATAAGAAATATATATTGCGTTTTTAAAAGTTGAAAGACAAATGACGCGTTTGGAACTCATTTCAAAATGATTTTATTTTTCATATAAAAATGAAAATGAAAACGTTTTTAATCTGAGACGTAAATCTTTTTTGAAAATACGTTTGGTAGTTTTATCAATAAATTATTTTCAGTGTAAAAAAACATATTAATGTCTCTCTTTCTCTCTCTGCTCGAGAGAGGAGAAAACGAAAACAAAAAATAAAAAATGACTAAAAGTCATTTTTTATTTATCTCTCATTTAACATTAAATTAAAAAATTATTTTTATTTTTATTTTTTATCTTTATTACACCAAATACTATTTTAAAAATATTTTTATTCTCTTCTCAAAAAACGTAAAAAATAAAAAGAAAATCAATTTTAAAAAGCCAAAATGTTACAAGAGTATAATTTAAAAGAATTTTTGTAATTAATTTTTTCCTTTAATTGTGACGTTGATCCTTCTCACTCCTCAGTACGACTAACCTATTTATTTTTCTGCAAAAAATCATCTCCGCAGTCCTCAAAAACAAGAGAGAGAGAGAGGAAAGGGGGAAAAAAAAAAAAAGAAAAGCAAAAGACTTGTAATCGCAAATTCTCTGAATCTATATTCTCACACAGGTACGATTCTGCGAGAAAAAAAGATTCTGGACCTTCTTTTTTTTTTTTTTTACTGTAATAATATTATTGGTTCTTCAAAATTTCAATTAATTTTGTTTATGTATTCGATTTCATACGGGAACAGTTACCAATTCTTCTCGTAGTTCCTTGATTACTTGTTAATTAATCTCGAATGAACTTCGGAGTATTCTAGGAATCGAAATTTGAGACATCGGTTTTGCTGAATTGTGTTTGGGCGGGGTTTTAATCGCCATTAATTTGAGGGAAATTTAGGATTTGAGTGTTATTAGGTTTTACTTGTTTTATATTAACTGAATTACATTAACTATCAAAATCTAGGGCTGAAGCATATTTGAGTATATGCTTGATTTCTTTTGCTCTGTTAGTCACACTCACGCATCTATATGTCGAGAAATCTTTGGTAGAGTATAAAATAAGAAAGTTTATATATACGTAATATATATAAATATTATGTGTATGCTGTGTGTGGTTTTAATGGTTACTCTAATATTTACACCGGTGTGGGTATTATTCCTTTTATGTGAATTAGGTAACCATCGAAAACTTGTTCATATACTATATTAATATGTATGAACGAGTTTTCAATGGAAATGTAAGTATGAATGGGTTTTCAATGACTATATTTCCATGGTGGTTCTATGATGTGGCGTGATAAGAATCAAAATCTTATTAAATAATACATTTATGATGATCTAACAATAAAAAAGCTTAATACCGAGTACAGTATTAGTACATGTCCTATACCATATAAGTCACTGTAGAGATAGGATGATTGTTGAGGAGCAATTTCATAGTCTGAGGGTAAATTTGGTGAATTTGAAAATTTTGACACAAATTTCAACAAGATGCTTCATTTCCTTTTATCTGTTGGCACATATATAATACACATACATATGGAGAAATGTTTGGCAGGGAATAAACAAAATATTTGGCAAAAGTACAAAATCTTCCCATGTATATATTAGAACCGAAATCATTTATGTTCTTGGAGCACCTTTTGATGATGACTCTAGTTTTTATTCTTTTAATACTTGGCAAAACCATATGTTCTTTGTTTCACAATGCAACTGAAGTTTTTTTTTTTTTTTTGGTTGAGATTGAAACTTTGAATGCGTGTGTTCAAACAGATGGAACAGTCTCTTTCTTCTCTCACATATAAAGGTTCCATACCTGCTGCAATTGTTGAAGCAAAGAAGCAGAGGAAACTTTTTGTTGTCTACATTTCAGGTATGTTCTTGTTTCGATCCTGTGATGTTTTTGTTTATTATAGAAGTACTTACATATGGTGGGTGGTAATTATTATTATTTTCATTTTTTAACTGGAGAGGACGTAGCTATAAAATAGTGAACAAGTTTATCCGTTGGTGTGGGGCCTCTGATTTCCTGGCCTATACTGTTGTTGCGGTGGAGGAGACTGTGCCGATCTTGAGGCTTGTGGTCGAAAATAAGTGTAGTTCGGCGGGCGAAAGGTCAGTGCAGAAGGAATTGACATCTGGGTAGGCAACTGAGGCTGATAGAAGGGTGTGAACTATGGGAATCTATCTTGACTAGGAGTGACACCCCTTTGAGTCTGCTGGGTTTGCTGAGTCTGTTGATTCCTGTGAGGGCAGTTTCTCTTTATATGCCCTGGCTCCCCACAATAGTGGCACTTAAAATTATAGGGTCCACTCTTCCCACTTCCTGAAGAGCTGCTACTGCCACTGGCTGCTCCTCCACTACTTTGCCCCTGATTTTTGTTTTTCCTGTTGTTTCTTTGGGGTCCTCCTGAAGTTCTGCCTAAGGCTTCCTTACTTTGAGGGTAGGCAAGATGCTCCTGTTCAACGCTGATGGCCGCTGCAACCAAGTCCCTGTAAACTCGAAGCCTTAAGGCCACCAATGACCTCCGGATTGCGCTCTAAAGGCCTTTTTCAAACTTGAGGCACTTCATATGCTCGAATTCAACCAGAGAAGGACAAAGTAAGACAACTCGTTGAACTTGGCTTCATATTCTCTCACTGACATATCCCCTTGCTGTAAACCCATAAATTCCATAGCATTTTCATCCCGGTAGCTCTGGGGAAAGAACTGCTCATTAAAGTGCTCCTCAAATTGTTCCCAAGCCATATTCTCAACATCATGCATCCGCCTAATTCGCTTCCACCAAGTACCGGCCGGACCTTCAAGCTTAAATGCCGCGAATTCCACCCGGTATTCCTCCGGTGCCCCCATAGTATTCAAAATTTTGGACACCGATTCAAACTAGTACTCAGCTTCCTAAGGTCCACCTTCACTAGTAAAGGCGGGAATTGAGCTACTCCTAAACCTCACGAAAGTAGCCCTGTTTCCTGTCCTCCGCCGGACGTTCATTCTGGGCTCTGGTAGTCATTCCCTGAAAGGTTGCGTACATCGCATTCATGAACTGTTCGTTCAGCATTGCCAGCGGGTTAGCGTTCTTACGACACGGCGGCATTCTCTTAACTGAAAAAGGAAACTAGACCATTTTAGTGGTTTTCTGATGTCATGAATGCATAATCCCAAACCCTAAAGTTTTAAAACCTAGGGCTCTGATATCAAGGACTTGTCACGCCCCCAAATAGGGGGAGGCTTGGTATCAGAGCCCTAGGTTTTAAAACCTTGGGGTTTGGGATTATGCATACATGAATGACATCAGAAAACTATTAAAATGGTCTAGTTTCATTTTTCAGTTAAGAGAATGCCGCCGCGTCGTAGGAACGCTAACCTGTCGGCAATGCCGAACGAACAATGTATGGATGCGATGTACACAGCCTTCTAGGGAATGGCTACCAGAGCCCAGAATGAATGTCCGGCAGAGGACATGAAACTGGATTACTTTCGTGAGTTTAGGTGTCGCTCAATTCCCGCCTTTACTAGCGAGGGTGGACCTTAGGAAGCTGAGTACTGGTTTGAATCGGTGTCCAAACATTTGAATATTATAGGGGTACTGGGTGGAATTCGCGGATTTAAGCTTGAAGGTCTGGCCGGTACTTGGCGGAAGCGAATTAGGCGGGTGCATGATGTTAAGAATATGGCTTGGGAACAATTTGAGGAGCACTTTAATGAGCAGTTCTTTTCCTAGAGCTACCGGAATGAAAAGACCATGGAATATATAGGCTTACAGCAAGGGGATATGTCAGTGAGAGAATATGAAGCCAAATTCAATGAGTTGTCTCGCTTTGCTCCGTTCCTGGTTGAATCCGAGCATATGAAGTGCCTCAAGTTTGAGAAAGGCCTTAAGAGCGCAATCTGGAGGTCATTGGTGGCCTTAAGGCTTCGAGTTTACAGGGACTTGGTTGCAGCGGCCTCAGCGTTGAACAGGAGCATCTTGCCTACCTTCAGAGTAAGGAAGCCTTAGGCAGAAGTTCAAGAGGACCCTAGAGAAACAACAAGAAAAACAAAAATCAGGGGCAAAGTAGTGGGGGAGCAGCCAGTGGCAGTAGTAGCTCTTCGGGAAGTGGGAAGAGTGGACCTTATAATTTTAAGTGCCACCATTGTGGGGAGCCAGGGCATATAAAGAGAAACTGCCCTCACAGGAATCAACAGATGACCTAGCAGACTCAAAGGGATGCCACAACTAATCAAGATAGATTCACACTCTTCTATCAGCCTTAGTTGCCTACCCAGATGTCAATTCATTCTACACTGACCTTTCGCCCGCCGAACTACACCTATTTTCGCCACAAGCCTCAGGATCGGTACAGTCTCCTCCACCGCTGCAACAGTATAGGCTAGGAAATCAGAGGCCCTACAACAACGGGAGAGGGAAAGGTGGCCGGCGGCAAGAGGAGAAAGAGGGCTGGCGGTGGGAGGAAGAAAAGAGAGAAAAAGAAAGTAAGAGAAGAAAGAGAGAGAGAGTCTGCAGGGGGCTCAAGGGGAGAGAGAAGAAAGAAAAGAAAAGAAAAGAAAAGGAAGAGAGGGTAAAGGAAAGAGAAAAAGGAAAAGAAAAATACATTAAAATTAAGTGTATTTTCAAAAACTTTTGGGGTGAAATTTTTAAAACTGAAAAGTAGTTAAAATTTTAGGAAATAACCTAGAAATGAAATTTTTATTGACATGATTAATTAATAAAATCTGTATTAGGCACACTAATATATCACAATTAATATAATTAAACTTACTTAATTCTTTGGGTTGCTACAGTTGGTGGAGTACTATTTAAGTTTTTTGAACTGGTTTCACTTTCGTACTTTTACTGATTTTAGGAGTCAATGCTGAGTCAAGTCGTTTGGACAGCTCAACATGGTCTGATTCAAAGGTAGGTTTTATCCCTTACCTTGCCCGGTACAAGCGTAAATTTGATGGGGGTGGTTAATCCTTTGCTCCATTACGATTCTTTTATTGATCTTCTGCATTCAGGTAGCGGAATCGGTATTGAAGTATTGTATTCTGTTGCATCTTTCTGAAGGAAGCAATGATGCCACACAGTTTTCTGCAATATGTATCCTCTTAGGAAACAACAATTCATATTTAAACTTTATTGTAAAGCTATCCTTCCAATTGTCATTCTCTGCATACTTTTTAGGGAATCCCGTGCCTATATTACACGCTTATAGTTTCAGGGCATAGATTTCAACCTGCTCGCTGCTAGCATCTAAGTGTTTTTAGATTGCTCCTTGTTTAGCTTTCAGATAATCACGTACCTGTGAAGCTATCCTTAATTGATTTCAGACCCACAAAAATCCATTCCTTGTATAACAGCTGTTGGATACAATGGTGTTCAGCTTTGGCAAAATGGTATTCCATTTCACTACAACCTTTGTCTCAGATTTTCAGGAAAGCATATAAGGAAACACGTTTAACTTTCTAAGAATTGGTTCTTGTTTGTTTGAAATTTGTAGAGGGCTTTATCAGTGCTGAAGTCCTGGCATCCAGTTTAGAGAAGGTGTGGCTGAGTCTTCATATACAGGTATGCCTTTGCTGTTTTTTCGTCTTACCGAGCTGTGTAAACCATCCTGGTCACACTTTAACATTGATGCCAAGTTTGCACGTGGTCCTTAACTATTTAATTTTATGGAAGTTATGTCCTCACTTTTATTATTGTCGCATCTTGATCATGTACTTACACTAGCAGGAGAGTGAAGATTTTCTTAACTTAGGCATTCCAAGTTTAGATGTCTAGGTAGGTTTATTGTCCTCCTTTTCCTCTTGACGTTGTTCTTGTATAATAAATTTCAGTTTCTCATCAAAATAATTTGTTAATATCATATTGATAATTACCGTTGTTATAGCATGAATTATTGGGGGAACAGACAAGGAACAAAACAACCATTAACTAGTAGGAGAGTGAATTTCTTCTTTTACGGAAAAAAAAGACGAGAAATAAAACAGCCATTCCTATATTAATGACAGTTGAAAATCTTTGGCTTTTTGCACAAGAACCCAGACACATTCTTCAATTCCATATCTAAAGAAATCTGTAGACTTAATTAATACCACTTGCTGAGATGTTTACTCGGGGAATTCATGTATATAAGAATAAAAAAATATTATTTTATGAGATATTTCAATTGATAAAATTGAAAGCGAAGAAAGGAATAAAACTGGAAGAGTGATTACTAGGTCTTTGAGGATACCTGGCCTCCTTTGTGGGTGTTTGGTATGCTCACTGGGTAAATGACAAAGGATAAAGGGTGATATGATTCCTGGGAAATTTTCTTTATCACTTTTAGTTACATATAGGAATCTTTTCTTAGATTCTCATTTTATTGTATTTGGTTGTGTGTTGTAATGTAACTAATTTATCTTACATAGAATCAATAATTAAGTTAGTTAATACTAATTACATCTTATGAAATGGGATAATTATCATCTACATGCCTTAATTTTTTGTTCAAAATAATAATTTTAGAGATACTAACAATACAGTTTATAAATCAAATTTTCTCTAAGCTTACACTACAATTTATAAATCTAATTTTCTCAAAGCTTAAATTTTAGCAAAATTATACTTTACAAAATTGAAAAAAAAAAAAAAGACAATAAACTTATTAAACGAATAAAAAGAGTTAACAATGAGTTTCTCAAAAGAAAAAACCTGATTCGTTAAGTATTATCCAAAAACTAATTTAAAACAGATATTAATTTAAATAATTCAATTAAAAACATTCCAAAGAAAAAAAAAGGCGGGGACAGGCAAAGGTAGATCGTCTGGTGAGGAGGCCCAGGTCGCTGTCACTCAGGGTGGTTGGCAGAGTTCTAAGCTATTCTCACTCTTTTCCATAATTTCTCTCTCCTCCTATTCTTCTCTCCTTGTGCTATGTCAACATACTAAAAAAGTGATCACCAGTTCGCTGACAAGTATGATTGACATGCAGCATCGGTCATTTGGTGGGGTGCTATGGTTGCCCTTCTCCTCTGGCCAAGGTCTTATGCTCGGTGCCTTGCCTCCCCTCAGTTATCTTTCTTTCATTTTTTTTTTTTTTTTTGGTTAAGAAAAAAGTTTAGCGTGCCTAGATAACTTTTGGGAGAGAGGGCATCGCCACGTGCATATGGATCCCCCCACGAAGTGGATTTATACTCCCTCCATCACAATAAGACTGACGCGAACATAAGACCTTATTAAGGAGAATGAGCAGCCTTACCACCCCACCAAATGACCGGTTGTCCTTCCCAATCTTATTTGGATATGGTGCTCCAAAACAAAAATAGTATAGCTGACGTGGCAATCACTTGTTTTTTAGATGTTATCTTTGTATTGTAAGTATTCTCATTGGCATGACTATGGGCATGTTCTTGTTCTTTCAAGTTCAACTTTCCAACTATAAATGCTTTAATGTTGTCTGATATTTCTATGCCAATTTCTCCTTTCCGTTTCAAGTCAAACTAACGTCACAAGTTTGATTTTTATTTTTATTTTTTATTTTAATTTTTAAATGATGCGTCACAGGATACAACTGCTGCTGTCCTCAGTGCTGCACTTGCTTCGAAGACATCAGAACCATCTTCTTCTGGTGTTTCTACTACTGCCTCTTCTGACCAAGGAAGCTCAGACGTTGGTGGTCAATCACCTTTAACTGACAGATATGGTAAATCGCCAGATGCTATAACAGAGGTTAGCCCTGACAAAGTGAAAGAACATAAGAGTGATGCATGCACTGCTGAGGTAAATATGAACTCCATCAAAATCCTAATCAAGTGTTTGTTAGCTGCAATTCGCACGATACTGATCGACCTTTTTTAACTTATTCATTTCGTGGACAGGAGAAAAGTTTTGAATGTGGAGTTAAAACATCTTCAACGTCAGTTGATGCCAATGAAGCCGGATGTGCTAGCACTGACTTTTCCATTGAAGCTACCAAAGAGTTACCACGTTCTACTGTAGTGGACCTGGATAACGTGGCATTATTAGATGGACCTCATTCCCCAGAAAAAAATAGTACCGATAGCAATTTAGTCGTTTCAGGTGGAGGATCAAAAACAATGAACACTGAAGTTAATCAAGTTGAGCGAGGTGCAAATAATGAAGATGAAGCTGATAAAAGGGTTAATAGAGTCAACAAATCAAATGATGTATACTTAAACATCCGAATGCCCGATGGGGTTAACTTGCAAGAGAAGTTTTCTGTAACGAGCACTTTGAGAATGGTAAAGGACTATATTGATGAACATCATGAAGGTGTCATTGGCTCATATGATCTTGCCATTCCTTATCCGCGCAATGTATACAGTGATCAAGGTAAACGCTGGAAACTCATTTCAAATTAAAATGTTAAAAAAAAATAAAAGGAAAGTGGAAAGGGAAACACCCCACCCCACCCCACCCCACCCCACCCCACCTTATACAAGTGAATGGTTGGTTGACTGCTTTTTGCTATTCTTGTGGGAGAATATTGCCATCATCGAGTGCGTCTGTTATTGATGTTAATATCTAATGTACTCATATTTTTAACTGAAACCTCTTTAATTTTCAAACGAATCTGACACCTATTTTTCAATGAACATTGAGAAAGACCCTTTTAGGATAGCATTTATCCTGAGTAGGAATTGTTGTACTTCGTATTCTCAGCCATGAGAGAGGGGGGGGAAAGAACAATGGCCCTTCAAGTAATGTGCAAATAAAATTTGAATTTGATGTAAATAGTTTTATCATGCCAGCCTTATTTTCTGACTGCTGCTTAGTTTTAAACAGATTTAAGCAGAACCTTGTCAGAATTGGGACTGTTTGATAGACAGGCATTGATTGTGGTTCCTCGGCAGCGAACGACTGATCAATCAAATTCAAGAAATATTGCTGATTCCTCAAACGAGAGTAATGAGGGTTACTTTGCTCGTCTTAAAAGATTGTTTTCTTTCATAAATCCTCTCTCCTATCTTGGTGGTGATGGTTCTAGCTCAACAAGTTCTGGACAACAATCTCAACATGGTATGTGGGAATACAGTGAGTTTTTCTATTCTGTGCTTTTGTGTCCAATTGTCAGTTTTATTCTCTTAGGTTTACATTTTGGGACTAGGGATTTTTATCTAGGGACTTCGGTGTCTCGCAGAATTTCAATTAATTACTGAAGGTTAGAGTAAAACAGCAAGTTAAGGACCATTTTCTCAATTGCTCGAACAGTTATAGTCGAAACGATTGCGTTTTCCATGACCATGATTCGTTCACAAAGCCTATGGATCTCTGCATTCAACTGTTTCATTTGAATTCTTTGATTGTACTCGCATAAATTTTTTTGAATATTTTCCTTTTCATAGTTCTGTTCATTTTACTCTTAGCTTGGAAAATAGTGCTATAACTAAGGAGGGTTGAGGGCTTAAGAATTAAATTATCTGATTAAAGTTTAAACCTTCTTTGAAGTTCTCTAGCTTCTGACTCCACACAGAAGAAGAAACATTGGAGATTAAAGTTAATGTCTAGTTTTATTGTTTTGTTTTGTATTTGTGTTTTTTTTTTTTTGGTGGTGTGGAGTCGGCTTCTCTTTGTTTAAAGAATTTCAGGGAAGTTTCTATGATTGCTTTTACAGAGTATAGGACTTAGTTTTTGCTATTGTAGGTCCAAACTCTACGCTTCAAAACAACTTCACCCAAGAACAGAGGCCTCAAAACATTTCTTCAAGCAGCGGAAATGATGGTAAAAACAGGCGGCCAACGGCATCTCATTTCGGAAGCAATATTCACACGTTGAAGCATGACGAAGACGATGGGCGATTCAACGACAGAAATTCCTTCTGGAATGGTAATTCTACCCAATATGGTGGTAATGACGATGGAAAATAATAAATTCTGATGTAGTCTTCTGTGAGAAGCCTTTGATCTTCATATGTTACGGCCTGCCTGCTTGCTTGTGTGCCAAATGAGACGGAAGTTGAGAGTTAAAAGAGAGAATTATAAATTATTAAATACCAATAAAATAAAAAGTGTATAAATGTTATTATTGCTGCTCCTCTCTTGTTTGTTTCTTCTGGTTGGTAATTGACAATAAGCGTGGCCTTTTTATTTTCTTTTTTTTTTATTGGGAGTATTTCAGCATATAAATACCACCGTCAAGTTTCAATTATCACAGATTATTTGATTGATAAAAGAAATTTTTATAATAAATTATGGCGGAGAGAGAATGGAGAGATTGAGGCCAGCTTAATTTTTTTTCGGCTTCTCTTTTATGTCTTTTAATAATATCATATCACGTTAATTATTAATTTTATGTCTTTTAATAATATCATATAACGTCAATTATTAATTTTAACTAGTAATGATATGACATTTTAGTTAATGTTTAGGACTTAACTCATATCTTCTTTTTTTTTTTTTCCTAGTTCTCTTTTATGTCTTTTAATAATATCATTATCACCTCAATTATCATACCTTAACTATCATACTTGAACTAGTAATGATATGACATTTAGTTTATATAACATTATATTTTAATTAGCATTAAATTTTAATTAACATAATGTGATAATATTAGAGGGGTACGAAATGAGACACAAAATATGAGAGATAAAGGTCGAATCCCGTGTATTTATGTAACGTCATTTAGAATTAAACATGTTTAATTATGTTAAATTATAAATTATTAGTGTGGCTAATTTGATTTTCACAATTAATCAAGAAAATTTAAATTATTTTTAATATTTATAATTTCACCCTAAAAGTTTTTAAAAATACACTTAAATTTTAATGCATTTTTTTTTTCATTTTTCCATTTTTTCCCTTTTCTTTTCTTTTTCCTTTTTCTTTTTTTTTTCTTTTCTTTTTTTCCCTCCCGCAGCTTTTCGCTCTTCTCTCTCTCTCTCTCTCTCTCTCTCTCTCTCTTTCTTTCCTTTTCCTCTTCTTCTCTCTCTCTCTTCTTGTTTTTTTTTTCTTCCACGCTGACCACTTCCTCTCCAGGCTCTCTCTCTTCCGCCGGTCTTTTCTCTCTCTCTCTCGGCTTGCTGGCCGAGAACCTTAAAAAAAACAACAAAAATGAGAGAAAAGGAGAGAAATGAGCTTCAATTACTTTGAGGTAAAGATTTCTTAAAAATCCATATTCAACTAACGACAACCTTATCTTGTATTGTTATTTTTTGGCCTGAATTTTGTGTGTTTAAGGGCATCCAAACGGGGCAGACGATTGGTTATGGTACTAGGCGAGGGAAGCTATATTATTTAGACTTGGAGTGAAAAAGTTCTGAGAAGTTACGTCAAGCTTTGACCGTAGATTGTTCTACAAGGGAGAAGAAGAAATCTGATATTTGGTTATGGCATCGAGGACTGGAACATGAATCCTTTGGTTACTTGGAGAAACTATATGCTAGCCTATTTGTGAAAACTGATGTATCTTGCTCTCAGTGTGAGGTTTGAGAGCTAGCAAAAAGTCATCGTGCTTCATTTCCATTACTTTTAAATCCAAGTCTTGTCTCTTTTATGGTTATACATTCTGGTGTTTAGGGCCCATCCAAAGTTACCACTATGTGTGGATCGATGTGGTTTGTTACTTTTACTGATGATTGTACCAAGATGACCTAAGTATGCTTCATGAAGATTAAAGGTGAGGTTGTTAAGAATAGTGGCCTTAAAGCATGAGGTGAAAAAAGGATAGTTTTTTTATTAAATTAATAAAATAGTTTTTTAATTATTTATGTGCATGTATTATAGAATACTTCATGAATATCATTGAAAAATTACGCGATTATTTGTGTAACCTTTACTATTGTATATAAGTATTATATACAAGAGTATAATATTTAAGGATAATAATTAAAATAATGTTCGTAATGAATTTAATTAAAGTTATGGAATCTTTGATTAAAACATTACTAATACATATCATTCTCACTAAGAATGGAATAGTATTATCCGCATCATTAATATAGAGGGATATTGAATGAGTGTATTATGCATAATGAGATTATGTAGAACTGAAACACAGATACAATTTGATTTTTTAATAATTTCGTTAAGTATAGAAAATCAAATTTGAGTCTACTAATGGTCATAGATTGAATGATCTTAATCCTTAATTGTTAGTAGACACCATTTATAGATCGTGTTTTTTATTTACTCGGTATGAGTTTCGAGATTCCAAATCTTATTACTTGTATCTTAGAAATATGATGAAGTGGAGAGCCAGTAATGGTAATATACGAGATGAAATCCATTTCTTCGTCTTTGAAAAAGTAGATAAATAATTCTCTTGAGGGTTGATTCGGTACTTGAATAAGTAACGAGTTCGTATTCATGAATCTGTTCCACTAGAAACTTAGAATTGCACTCTCAAAATGATCGTCATAATTTACTTCTAAGAACTTTAAGTATCCATTTGATAGAGTCACTATATAGATCAATCATCCATAAATAATTCACAATTAGAGTTAGGTTGAATATGTTAACCTCTCTAATTGCATCTTTATCATCGAGTACCATTAATTCTCTAATGAATAGTATATTTATGAACAGAGTTAATAGAATTAATCAATTAATTAAAGAGTTTAATTAATCATTAATTTTATGAGTGCTCAGCATTATAGGTCCATGAGTCCCAGCGTCATCCTTATAATATTTACAAGGTAAGGTGAATTGTTGGGTTTTATTGTCACTCAAAATAAATAATGTGATTATTTAATTAAATTAATTTTAGAATACACTATGGTGGGACCACAGGAAGCCACACACCCAGGCACAGAAAGGTGCTAGGGGCGTGTGGCACAAGAAGAATTCCATTGGAATTCAGTTGCTTGCTTTCAAAGATATTCGGTTTACCTGTTTTGACATGTTTTCTAATCAAATTCAAAAGGTAATTGAAGTTTAACTTTATTTAGATTTGAATTTGAACTAAAATTGGAGCTAGATAAAAAAGAGGAGTTTATCTCTTCCTCCTCCCTGAAATGTATGCCAACCACAGAGAGATATCCTTGTGGTGTGACCGGCCATAGTAAATAAGGAAGGGAGATAATTTTGTTTCTAAAATTAAATGAGAAACTATATTTTAAATGAGATTTAAAATAAAGTGATTACTAATTATCTATTAGTTAAAGCAAAAAGGGTCCTCCTAGTATTCTATAAATAGGAGAGAATAGAAAATTGGAGAACACAATTTTCATTCTCTATTTCCTATAGTTGGCCGAATTTAAAGAGAGAAAACAGAAGAAAGTTCTTCCAATTTTCAGTTTCATCACATACACGTGTTGATAGTCGTGAAATAGAAAGTATCGAGTGATCAAATCCGATAGTTCTACTTTAGAGCCTACACTCTAGGTCTTGCAGATTTTAAGCACTACAAGAGGAAGATTCGAGCTTTCGATGAAGGGTTGGAGCTTGGATCATTCGTGGTTAAAGAATTCAAGTTATCTGCCTAATTGATCATTAGGTATCTATCTTTATAAATCAATATGATTAATTTATTATTGGATAAATTAATATATACTATAGAGTATAATGTTAGATCAAAGAAGTGATGTAGAACCAATAATAGTAGAAGTGAGTTCACCTCCAACTTCGTCTGAATCCGAGTCTCTCATTCCGCAGACTAAAGATGTTGCTCTACCTTCATCTGACATATCATACCAATCGCTTCTTATTGAGGATGTTCCTGAGCCACAAAGAAAACAATTACCACAACATCACACAAGAGGTATCCTTAGACCCACATATGAGCCCGAGCTTTCTAGTAAAGTCAAATATCTCATGAGTCATTATGTGTCTAACCATCGTCTGTTTGAATCAAATTTGTCATTTGTAAATCAATTGTCCACTGTATTTAATCTTAGCAATGTGCAAGAAGCCTTAACTGACCCCAAGTGGAAAGCAGTAATGAATGATGAGATGAAATCCCTGCAAAAGAATGGAATTTGGGAATTGGTTGATCTCCTACCAGGAAAGAAAACATTTGGATGTCGATGAATTTACACTGTAAAATACAAAGCTGATGGCACAATTGAACGCTTTAAAGTGAGATTGGTGGCAAATGGATATACTCAAACCTATGGGATCGATTACATAGAGACATTTGCACCAGTAGCTAAAATTAACACTATTCGTGTTATGTTGTGTTCAGTTGTAAATTTGGATTGATCGTTACAATAATTCGATGTGAAGAACGCCTTTCTACATGGCAATTTGTTTGAAGAAGTTTGCATGGATTTTCCACCATGATGCGTAGCGTCAGAAAAGCAGAGTCAACAGGTGTGCAGATTGAAGAAGTCATTATGTGGATTGAAACAATCACCGAGAGCATGGTTTGGAAGGTTCACAAAGTCAATGAGAGCCAAAGCAATTTAGACCACACATTATTTTGAAGAAAAGCAGGGTAAGATCATCGCTCTTATTGTTTATGTGGATGACATGATAGTTACAGTAGATGATCTCAAAGAAATGAGGCCCTACAGAGGTACTTGTCCAATGAGTTTGAAATGAAAGATCTCGGCCTATTAAAATATTTTCTAGGGATTGAAGTTTCTCGATCAAAAATAGGAATCTTTTTGTCTCAAAGAAAATATGCTTTAGATCTATTACAAGAGACTGGAATGTCAGCGTGTCAACCAGCTAATACATCAGTAGTAGAAGAAGGTTTGAAGTTATGTGTTTTGCCAGACCACATACCAGTTGATAAAGGGAGATACCAAAAAGTTGTCGAGAGACTAATGTACTTAGCACACACAAGACCATATCTTGCTTATACATTGAGCGTAGTCAGCCAATTTATGCATAAGCACTGAGAACAACATATAAATGTTGTTATGCGCATTTTGAGGTACTTAAAGGTCCTGGAAAATGTCACGCCCCCCAAACGGGGTGGGTGACGTGGAGCTCGATTAGGGGTTAAAGCGTACAGTAATAATAAAGGAAATCCCTAACGAGCCTTACACTTGACTAGATTAAAATATAAATTTCTAGGACTTGAGCCTCTGACAATACACAGGGCTCCACTCACGGGACATACAGTATTATACATACATGAACATGTAAATAATCATACAGACATCTACCACAGTCTAGAAATCTAAATATTTAGAGTTTACAGAAGTTACACTTCCTTACATTTATATGTCAAGAGGATGAACACAATCCTCACTTGTTTGATCAATAGTAAATTACCCAGCTACTCCGCACCACTCCTAGAGTCTCTTGAGAGGGGTTTAATATTCATAAAAATAGTAAAATGTGAGCGAAAGGCCCAGTATGATATAATTTGAAATAACTTTATAAATAAATGAATAAATAAATGAGTGAGAAATAAATAAATGGATAAGTAAATAAAATCAGACATTCAGTTTCAACATAACAGCGGAATCTCACATCATTTTTCTCAAAGGAAATATATATAAAAATATCCATATTACAGGCATCAGCAAGTAATTAGTACAAATTACTTACACAACCAAGTGCACAAGCCTACCCGGACCGAGCTTCGGGTTCTGCCCCCGAGGATGCACTCTCCACATCCTATCTAGGCCATCAGCCATATTTTTACCAGTTCGCAAGATCTCTTGCTTAAGAAATCATTCATTAAACTTTTTGAAATCGTTATTATGACCCCACAAACTACACAAGCCGTGGGCCCCATGAACTGAACAAGCCATGGGGTTCCATGAACTAAACAAGCCATGGATTCCATGAACTGAACAAGCCATGGATTCCATGAACTAAAAAAACAAGCCATGGTTTTCAAATGGTTTTTCTTTCGCAAATAAGCCCCTTTCTTTAAAAAATTTATAAGGCCAAAATTCTTTTGAAATCATGCTCACAAGGAAAAGGGGATAGAAATCCTACCTCGCAATACCAAACATGTGATTAGCATTGCTCTATTCTGGCTTTCACTTTGTCGAAGCCTTTCAATCCGAGCCCTCCGCTAGCAATCACACAAAACAACACTTTAGGGTCAAACTCTCATTTCCTAAAGTGACTTAATCTCAATTACAAACCAAGATTTCCTATTAGTGTGCCCTAATCCTATTTCATGTTTCAATAATCAATTTCAAGGGTTTTCAATCTCAAAACATGGATTAAAGATGCTAATCCATCTATCCCAAGTCCCCAAATGGAGCTAATTTGGGTTCTCCTCGAAAATAGGGGTCAAAACAGCATTTTCAGGCAAAACAGGGTCAAACCCCGCGTTCACTGGACGACCGGGGACAGAGCAGTGCAACACTACCGGTCGACCGCACTGGTCGACCTGTTGCCATGCAATCCGGTTGACCGCACAGGTCAACCGGTGAAGAACACCCGTGCGAGAAAACTCACAAAACCAGTTTGAAAAACCTGCAAATCCAGTCCAAAAAACCCAAGATCTCTAATTTCTACCATGTTTTTAGGCAAAAACCATGAAAATCCGTTTTGAACCAAAAATAGGTTTTCTAATCCGAAAATCCAAGATTCAAGAGAGGGTTTTTCCAAAATCTTACCTTAAATCATTCTCTTGACGTTGAAAACTTCTTTAAATCCTTCCTTGGTTCAAGATCCGTTCGTTTTGGGACAAAAACGGGAGAAAGAGAAAGAAAGAGAGAGCATGGGAGTGAGAGTGAAGAGAGAGAGAGAGAGAGAGAGACGCATGGGAAGGAAAGGAAGGAAAAGAAAAGAAAAGAAAAAAGAAAGAAAAAGGAAAAAGAAAATAAAAGACATGTATCCACTATTTAAAATAACAGTTAAGAAATGTGCTCATACACACTTCTGGGTAGAAATGTAAATACTGAAAATATTTAAATACCTTGGAATTATTTAAATTCACTCGTCAGAAATATTTATTAATTAATAACCAATTAATTAATCCAGATTAGGCACACTAATAAATCTCAATTACCTTAATTAATCTCATTTAATTCTTCAGGGTGCTACAGAAAATGAATTTTATTCTCTAAGAATGAGGGCTACGAAAACATAGATGCATATACATATGCAAATTGGGCTAGATCTATTGATGACAGGTGATCTACTTCAGGATGTTTCAATTTTGTTGGTGGGAATCTTGTAACTAGGAGAAGTATGAAATAGAATTGTTGCGAGCTCAAGTGTAGAAGCTGAATTTAGAAGTACGGCACTTGGAATTTCTTAAGTGATACAACTGTCTTGCAAGATCTAAGTTATTCATCTAGATAACCAATTTGGTTGTTCTGTGACGATAAGGCTGCATGTGATATAGCTCATAATCCGATTCAATATGATCGTACGAAACATGTTGAGATAGACAGGTTATTCAATAAGGAGAATTTTAATAACGAGATTAAAGATTGTCTAAGATTCGATCAGAGGATCAGTTGGCAGACATTCTCACTAAAACAGTCTCAAATAGAGTGTTCTCAAAGGTTTTAGACAAGTTTGGCATTTGTAACATCTATGCAACAACTTGAGGGGGAGTGTTGAGATTTCACTGATTATGCTTTTCTTATTCTTTCCTTTTTTAGAAATTTCATAGCTGTACAGAAATAGGCATAGACAACTCTCTAATTGTAATCACCTTAATTGTGGGATGATTGTATCTTGACATCTCTATAAGTTTGGATGCACATAATCATTTGAAATATGAATGAAAATAGACCAATTCATCACCTCATCTCTTATTCAAAGAATCGAAAGCGCATCTCTAGTGAGCCGGCCCCCAAAATATACTCATACGCTTTGCGTCGGCCGATCTACATGATAGTTGAGCCTGTGTTGGTGTTTCCTTCTCTTTTTTTAGTCGTAAGTGGAATAAAGGCAGTCAGTGTGGCAGTGTTAGTGTTTGTTTCCTCCCACCAATACAATATGAATATCATTAAAAATTTAACAATTATTTATATGACCTTAAATATTGTAGATAAGTGTTATATACTAGAAGATAATATTTAAGGATAATAATCGAAATAAGTCCAAAATAAATTTAATTAAAGTTCAGAATATTTAATTAAAACATTATTAATACATGTCATTCCTATTAAGAAAGGAACGAGATTATCCACATCGTTGATATGGAGGGATATCGAATGAATATATTTTACATAATGTGATTATGTAGGACTGTGACAAGATATAATATGAATTTCTGATAATTTTCGTTAAGTATAGAAATTCTAATTAAGTCTACTGATGGTCATATTTAGAATGATCTCAATCCTAAATTATTAGTAGACTCCTATTTATGTATTCATGTCTTTTGACTTACTCGATACAGATTTTGAGAATACTAAATCATATTCCTTATATCATAGAGACGTGATGAAGTTTGTAGCCGGGAATGTTAATATTATGATATGAAATCTATTCCTTCTTGAGAAAAAAGTTGATAAATAATTCATTTGCAGTGTTTATTCGGTACTTAGATTATTAGGAGCGTTCTGGTTCATAAATTTATTTTATGAATCACTATCCGTTAGAAAATCAATGGTATCAAGGATAAAGATATAATTTGAGAAGTTACCGGATTTCTAGCTCTAATTATGAATTATTTATAGAAGATCGATCTATATGAAGTGACTATATCAAATGGACGTTTCACAGATGTACATAGATGTCTAAAATATTAAGAGTGCAATTACTGGTTTATAGTGGAGTAACTTTAGAATTAATAGAATTAATTAATTAATTAAAGAGTTTGATTAATTATAAATTTTATTGGAGCTTAATATTATAGGTCCATGAGTTCCTGCACGTAATTGTAATTATACAAGACACTAAGAGTAAAACAGAAATGTTGTAAAATTACAAAATCCTAAATTAAATCACTCAAAAATAATTAATTGAGAATTAATTAAATATTAAATAATGTGATTATTTAATTTGAATTTTAGAACACACGTGTGGTGGGGACCACATGAGGAGCACGCCTATGGCAGAAAGAATTCCACTGAGATTCAGTTACTTCGTCTCCAAATTATTCAATTTACTTGTTAGACTAATTATCCAAACGAAATTCAAATATCTTTGAAGTTTGACTTTAAATGGGAATTTGAAGTTTGACTTTAAATGAGAATTTGAAGTTTGAGTTAAATTTGGACAATGAGAAAATTCTTTTCGTCCTACTTGATAAGGTAGCGCCTACCATAGAAAAATTCTTGTGGTGGCCATATTTTTTAAGGTCTCGTTCGTTTTGTAAATTCAAATTTTTATGTAACAACCTGAAGAATTAAAACAGTTTAATTATATTAATTATGATATATTAGTATGCCTAATTTAATTTTATTAGTTAATCATGTTTATTAAATATTTTCTTATCTTTAAGTTTAAAATATTTCTAAGGAATCTTAATTATTTCAATATTTACGATTTCGTCTTAAAAGTTTATAAAAACATATTTTCTTACCTATTTTTCTAAATATCTTGATGTTTATCTTCCTTTTCTTTCTCTTTATTGACTCTTCTTTCTTTCTCTCGCCACTCTCCCAGCCCACTCTCTTTATTTTTTTTCTTTTCTTTCTTTCTTTCTCGTCTCCCGGCACTGTCTTTTTCTTTACTCTTTCTTTCTTTCTTTCTCTGTACTCTTTCTTTCTCTCATCTCTCACCAGCTCCCTCTCTCCCTCTCACCTCAGCTATCTTTCTCTCTCCTCCTCTCCCTCTCAAATTCGTCTCTCTCTCTCTCTCTCTCTCTCTCTAAGGAAACCAAGGGATTTTTGGGCCTAGAGTTGAACCAAAGAAGATTTTCAAGAGTTTTCATCACCAAAGGAAAGATTGAGGTAAAAATTCTTTGAGAAACCAACTCTTGATTTTCGGATGTTGCTTGGGTAAAACTTGTTCTTGGTTTGATTTGGTGAATTCTTGGTTTAAGCATGGTTTTGGATAGGTTTTGGCTAAATTCATGATGGAATTTGGGGGTTTTCAATTCTTTGAACATAAATAAGTGTTTGAAATTGGTTTTAGTGATTTCCTATGGGTTTATCTTAAAATCAACTTGAAAATACATGTTTTGGTATTGCTTCCACTGTTTTGGCCGATTTTTAGGGCTTAGGGAACACCCACGGCAGCCACACCACTGGCCGACCGGTGGTGCTGCACTTTGCTGCAGCAAACCAAAAAAAAAAAAAAAAAAAAAAAAAAAAAAAAACTTTAACTTGAATGATGAAGTTGTTTATAAACTTTGATTTTGATTCAAGGCACTAGTATGATGTAATTATACATAATTAAGCTTGAATTGTTTTAAAAGTAAGATTTAAATTTTAAAACATTATTTTGATAGTGGAACTAGCGGCAAGATCGGATGTGGAAGCTTGGAAGATAGTCAAGGCTAGGTCAACGAGAAGCGATCAGTAGAATTGATATCCAATAGGTAGGATGTTCTTGTTCATATCCTTGATAGCCTTGTTTAAAATGTCTTTGGCCTATGGAAATGTTTTAAGGACAAAACATGTTTGACATTATTAAGATTTAAAGAAGAATATCATGGAAAGATTAAGTTTTGAGAAAAGTACTGTGAATTATGCTACCAAATCTTTATTGTGATAAAATGAGGTTTTAAAAGATATATATTTTCTTAAATTGAGATATTTTGAGAAATAGTAAAACGCACGATAGCCTAGAGATCGGGATATGCAAATCATATCCTTGAGGGAAAGTTCTGAAACCCGTACGGGCCACTCTATAGCGTGGGTGGTGATATTATGGCTTTGCGATAATGTGAGTAATTTATCATATTCTTATGAATTGCTTATTAGCATATGAAACTTGAATTTGTGGATTACTTTTCTTATTATTAATAAAGTTTTATGGAATCATCCTACTGGGCTTTTTGTTCACTGTTTATCTTGTTTTCAATGTTTTATACCTATCTCAGGCGACGTTAGAAACAGTGCTGGGTAGATAAAGACTACCGGTGATATTAGTTTGAACTCAAGGAGTGAAGAAGTTGTTGACACTTCCATCCTTACCGTATAATTCTAAGGCATGGATAATTTTACGGTTTGTAAATGTAATTGCTCCTAAACTGTGGTTGATGTCAGTACCTCATTTCTCTCCGCTTTGTTTATGTATGCCACAATATGGATTTGTTTTACTATGGTGTTGTAAAATCCCCATCAACTTTCTTAAAATCTAATTTCCTTCAAATTTCGGGGTTTTATTTGGAAATTCTTAAATATTTTATTCTTGAAAATGAGTTTAGTATTATCAAATGATTAATTATTTTTTCTAATCCGATTTAATTTCTAAACAAGCCTCGAAGTCACTAACTATTTTGGAGCGTGACATTTCAATTCAAGCTGAGATGTGACAATTTTTTAGAGTTTTTAACTGTAAGTTAGATGTAACATTTTTTGAGAGTTTTTAACTGTATAAACCTAGAACTAAAAACTCGAATCGATGAAATTAACGATGCCTAAGTGATGGGAGAGAGAAAATTAGTCCAAAAATAAATGGGAATATTATTTGATTTTAAATAGGATTTAAAATTAAATTAATACGGTGGTTACACGGTTATGTGATAGGCGTGTAACATAGTGGTTACAGGCATGTAACATTTTGCTAGTCAGCGTGTAACGTGTTAGTGATCGACATGTAACTTTTTCACACCCTTCTTTGTGGCTGGTGTGTAACTTGGCTATTGTAAGCATGTAACACACAATTGGTTATCATGTAACCTTCCAGCGGTGTGCTTGTAATATTGAGAGAAAAAGAGAAGAAAAGTTTTTTTATTCTCTATTCTACTTCGTACAAGAGTTGATGTTTGTGGATGATTTATGAATTGAGTGATAATTGGTTTTTCTTGTTTTTGGGTGTGTCCACACGCATTTTTCGTAGAATCAAGGAATTAATGAGGGAGATTCTTGGTGATTTGAGAACCAAAGTATTAGATAATCGGTCGTTAGGTATAATTCTTATTCTAAATTAATTAAATTAATTTATTCGTTATAAATTAATATAATCTATAACATTTTTAAAAATTTTATGAAAATTTTTGTTCAGACTCGATTTAAATTTTTATACTTTTGCATCTGAAATCGTCTCGAAAACCAACATACTCCTTGTCTAATACTAATAGATAGTTGAGCTATCTTCTTTACTTAATTCACAATAAATTCTCTTTTGTAAAACCAAGAAGGTTTTGAATAAAACCTTAATATATATATATATATATATATATATATATATGTGCGCGCGCGGGGGCGTGTGTGTGCATATTTCTTAAATAAAAAAAAATTAAATTTTTGATATTTTTAATTGAAAGTGTGTATGCTGGTTTGGGGAAAGAACGAAGGGGAAGAATGCGAAGAGACGAGAGGCAGCAACTTGCTGGGTTTTCTTGTTTTTTCTTTCGTACCTTTTTTCTCTTCTTTTTTTTTTTTTTTTCCTTTCAAAATATACCTTTCCATGTTATTTGTTCTCTTTTTTATTCAGAATTTCTTCATTTCTTTTTCTTGTTCCTTTATGGGTATTTTATATCACAATCAAGTGTTGATTGAAAAACGGTATGGATTTGCTTTGGCACATATTTGTTGGGATAAAAAACAAGGTATATTTTCTAAACTACTCTAAAATACAAAGTATAAAAAATAAAGAACCCATTACGAAACACATAATAATTCAATACACAAAAACAGAATGGTAGACCTCGCTCATTTCACTAATTTGAGTTTATAACTTATTATGAGAGAAAATTGTAACAATAAATGTTGAATTTGAATTTTTTTGAGAAAACGTAAAAGTAAAAACTTAAGTCATAATTCGAACTAACGAAACGAACGGGACCAAAATTGATAATAACAGCAGTTCTATCGCGGTACATAACAAATCAACTAAAGGAGTATCGTCCCTAATTCTTTTCAAACCTTTGCACAAAAAGTGAATTCGCAGAGTAATCATTGGATGGTCCATGACTTGCACTGAGTTCCTTCATCTCTTTACATAGACACAGGGATTCTTTCTTCAGAGGCCTTTGTGGAGTCCCTATCTTTGAAACCTAGCATCTTGTTTAATGCTCCAATATAGGCCTTGACACTTGAAACAACAATGTCCACTCCTGCCCCGTTCCCACTGGAAAACAAAAGCGGAAAAAAAAAAGTTGAGATTTACGTGCTCTAGACCAACTAGTAGAACAAGCACGCCATCTTGACGATAAGGCAAATCCAGACATGCCATACCTAAATGTCCGAGAAACCGGTTTTCCGGTTGAAGCGTGAGTGGGTGAGCAAGCGTTTTCTCCTTGGATTAGGACACGGGTGGTGGAAATTGCATCGATGCCTTTTGTGACAGCATTCATGGAGTACTCAAGGAGTGTGCAAGCAAACGGAAGAAGATTCCATCAAAGACTAGCCAACACCTCACACTCACAGATTCAAGCGCAAAGCAAATTTCTAATAATCAACTTCAATACCATCACGTGTCTTTTGTTGGCCCTTACGAGAAACTTGCCAAAAGAATCAAATCACAAGCAAGTCTAGAATTCCGTGAAATCAAATGGGAAAAGGCTTTGAAGATTATGTGATCAGTGATTTTGTCTCTGACCTTTACAATTAGATCAACAGCTTTGTAAGCTGAATCAACTGGACCTGTTCCTTCTGAACGAGCATCATATTCTTTCCCATCTGCATCAACAAGTTTAACAGTTGCGGTTGAAGGACCAAGAGTTCCACATGTGACCTGTGCCAAATTCATGAAATTTGGTGATTTAACTTGCCTTGAAAATAATGAATATTAGAAGATCATGAGCAAAGTCAAAATGTATGCAGAATTACCTGCAGATCAACCAACTTCCAAACCACTTCTGGCTGAAAAATTTCATCCGAAACCAATGCTTTAAGGTCTGCATCAGTTACCCTCTGCAAACAGGAACAAAACAGATGACAAGACAAAAAATGCTTTTCTAATCAAGAAGTATGTAAGTAGACAACAAAAACAACAACAACAAGCCTTAATCCCAACTTAATTGGGATCGGCTATATGAATTTTACTTTTTCACGTAGTTCTGTTCAAAATTAGACTTTCCTGAAAACCTAGATCTAGAATGTCTATTGGTGCTACACATACTTTACTACGAATAACTTCATTCATTATGTGATCCATTCTCGTATGGCCACTCATCCATCTTAACATATGCATTTCTGCCCACTCATCTTACATATATGTTGTCTCTTAATGACCCAACATTCACTACCATAGAACATAGTTGGGCGGGTTGCAGTCATATAGAACTTTCCTTTCAACTTAATAGGCATCTTGCCATCAGATAAAACTCTCGTAGCATTATTCCACTTAACCCGCCCAGCCTTAATCCTATGTTGAATATCCTCTTCTATATCTCCTTCGTACTGCACTGTTGACCCAAGGTACCTAAACTTACTAAAAGTCACAATCTCCACACCATCTAAAGAAATTCCATCATGATCCTTGATGAAGGCTGATCCGAATGGGGAACTCTGCCGTGTAGCCTCCAACAGTTCTCACACTCGTGACCACCCCATCATACATGTCCTTAATTACCTTGATATAACTCACATGTAGACAGAAAAGAAAAATAAATTGTGCAATACAGTTTATGTAGATTGGAGCAAAAATCTGACGGGATAAATCACTTGAGTATTAACAGATAACATTATGCCATTAATGTTTTAAATTAACCTTCTTTTGATCAGCAACATCTTTGAAACGACAGAAAATATTCCCAAGTTGCTCATCATCAAGCTCATAACCCAGCTGCGAAGAAAAAATTAATCAACATGCAGTAGAAAAAGTAGAGGTACATGGTAATTTAGCTGTGCACTGCTCACACATGAAAATTAAAATACCTCCTCAAGTCGTCGCTTTATTGCATGACGACCACTGTTAAAAAAAAAAAAAAAACGAGCTATTATTGGAATTAATAGACAGGGTAGCTAACATCAAAAGAAACAACATTATTGTGGTCTCTCCTCCCTCCCTCATGCACACACACACACAAAGCATGCAAGATTCTTTGACACTTTAGTTTAGTAACCAAAAATACGGTCCAAGAAAACAAAACTTTGTGCATACAACATAATACGGACAATTTAGAATGTTGATAAGTTTGTGGGTATCAATAATAGAAAAACAATTGTTTAGGATACGCTCCTACACTTGCAAAATTTAATCTTTAATCTTTACAATTGCTCTCTACCTTCTCTAATTCCAAATTGCCTGAGCAAATGGAGAAATAATAAACAAAATGGGTTTTTGCTACTTTTCACGAGTACTCAATTCAATAAGTAATGTCTGTAGAAATGGAGCAAGAAAATAAGTGGGAACCCTAGGGCCGTTATGATTTGGAATATAACCACAAGCAAGACAAATGTGAAGTATAAGACAACTATTGCAACCTACAAAGGATACACAATTCAAGAACAATATATTGAAAGTCATTCAAAGCTAGGTAGTCGTACCTAAGTTTCCCAAGGACAATACCACCCTCATTGAATCGTTCTAATCCAATATCTTCAGGGGCTATGATTTCATAAGTACCTTTGTGCTTAAGCATCCCATCCTAAAAACCAACAGCTATCTTGAGTTACATCAGTTTTGAAACTATCTATGAACCGAAACAATGGAAAAGGCATGCAAAACTGAAAAACTTGTATGCAAATGAACATGATAAGATGCAAAAGGGCACGTGACCCATACATTTCAAGGAGTCATTCATCTTAGTTTTCCAACAAAGTAAAACGAGACATGAAAATGAGAATCATGCACCATTGCAACAGAAAATTCACAAATACCAACCTGATGAATGCCACTTTCATGTGCAAAAGCATTGGCTCCAACAATAGCTTTGTGTGGCTGTACATGCATTCCTGTATAGTCTTCAACCTAAGGTTTCATTCACATTAAGAAATTTAATGAAAGGACATTATTATTTAGGAACTAAATGAAAAGGACATAATTAAAAGAAGGGAATGACAAATAAAGCAATTGAGAAGCATACCATCTTGCTCGTCATCATAATGTGTTTGGTGTTGATTCTAGTGTGAAGCCCCCCCAATTCACGCTCACCACGACATTTCAATGTCATTACAACCTGAATATAAAATTCATGGAGAAAAAGGAAAACAGTTATTCAAAAAGAAAACAAATTAGAATAGCATACTTTTACAGCTGGCTCCTAATAGATCCACAAATGCTTTGGCACCTAATATAAGGACAGATATCTGTTGTCCAATTTTAGTGTCTTAATTGGAGTCTACCCAATCAAATCATGTCACGTCATGTAAAAAATTTAGATTGCTTTATAGCTTACTCAATTGTACTTATCCTGGGATGATGTGGTATGAATTACTTGTTAGGCACCAATTAAGACACTAAAAATTGGACAGCAAATTTGGATCTCTAATAAACCTGCTTCCTAGAATGGCATTTACAAATACAATTGAAGTTAGAAATGACTTGAAGAGGTAACACTTGTGAATCTTTGAGAGCCAATCATTGGAAAGTAATTCCAACGGCAAATGAATTTATACGACGACTAAAGGGGTATATCAATATATACATTTACAATCCATTTCTCCACTTGGCGCAGAACCTCAAAATACTGTAACGGAACAATTTTAGTGCTTTAAGAAGATGTAAGGTAGGTGTTGCAGCATTACAGAAACTGTTAGATTCTAGCTCTTAGGAAGTTAATGACTAAGAGGGGTTAAGTGGGGGGAAGGACAATAAATTGGGGTTTGGATGTAATTTCTGAGAAATTATGTTAGTGCTAATTTGTCTTGGTTTTGGCCAGAATTAGTGGAAAGGTATAAAAGGGAGGTGAAGGGCAGAGTTGGACAACGCTGAGATTTGTGTGGGATTTGGGATCTTTAGGAGACCTAGTGGTCTCTCGAATACTGCCAAGTTTAGGAGTCCCCGGAGTACTTGAATTCTCCGATCTGTCCTTTTGTTCCCGTTTAGTAGCGTAATTGGTGATTTGCTGGTGACTATCTTTTTTTTTTTTTTTTTAAAAAAGAAACGGAAACTTTTATTAATAGAGTAAAATGGGACATAAGAGCAAAGAGGAAGAGTTATCCTCTTCAAAAAACTCTAACTAGTGAATATCAATAAAAGAATCCTTGATTTCTATCCTATTTCCTTGTTAATTTTCTGGTTATGTGAGTGGTTTGGGGCTGTTTGGCTGAGAATTATCAGGTTCCTAACACTTTGGTATCAAAGCATCGCTTCATGGCACCCAAACTAGCGTAGAGAGGCTGGCGCTGGCAGAGAAGCGGTTGACAATGGTGCAAGAGGCAGTTCAAACCCTAACGGCTGAAACTTTGCCTCAGATCTGTGGCGAGGTCAATTGGTTACATGAGATGGGTGGGCTGCGTACTCAGGTCGGGGAGATGCAAGGGACGATTAGGAAGGTGCAAGGATCGATCTACTGGTTTGAGGCATTGTTGGAACAGTGGGGGCCTCCACCAAGGGCGGGGGTGGGTCGCGACGCGGAAGGCAAGTTGATCTGGGTGACGCGCCGACCCAAGGCAGGAGGAGCCACAGCCGGAAATTGCAACGATCAGAGGCCTGGCGGCAATCCTAGGCACGATGAAGTAGGCGATGTCGATCAAAATGCTCAAATCCGCGAGGGCCCACATCGAGAAGGATAGATCAGGGTTGTGCTTGGGCTAGAGTATGAACGGCAAGCGCAGGAGATGGAGCGATGAGAAAATCTGAACGAAAGTCGCGTGGTGTAACGTCCTAATTTTTGGGCACAAATTTTTGTATTAATTTTGTATAGATAAATGGTAAGAGAAACGATGAAGGTGTGAGCTTAATTATGATTTCACAGAGCCAATTGGATGCTACAAAATTGTGTTCAGAATTCTACAGGAGCTCAAGGACTAAATTGCAAGGCTTTGTGAGTAAGATTGTAAGAATTCCTATTCTTATGGTCAAAATGCAACTATTGAAAAATAAAGGGGCCAGATTGCAATTTTGGATAGAAAGGAAAAAAAATACGCTCTTTTCATTTCCCCCTCCCTCCTGTCTCTCTCTCACTCTTACTCTCTCTGTCCGGCCCTCTCTCTTTTCTCTCCCGGTTCTCCCTCTCTTCCTCCATGAGAGGTGTTGTTCAAGCTTCCAAATTAGAGGCTGTTCTTCAAATTCTTTTAAGATTTTGCTAAATTCACAATTGAGGTAGGATTTTCTTGTTCAAAAGTTGATTTACTTTCCCCTTGATGTTTCAATCCGAATTTATTCATATTTTTTTTCCCTTGTTTCAATCTTTGTTGTGGTTTTGATGAGGATCCTAACAGCAGCCCAAAGAAAAGTATAAACTGTGCTTGCTTGGTGAGTTTTTGAAGGTTGTTTTGTTAGGATCTTAAACTAGACATCCTAAGCTTCGTATAG